TAAAACCAGGGGCTGGCAAGTGGCGTGGTGGTTAGAGGTGTTGGATTCTCACATGGCTGACTACGGTTCAAGTCCTGGACCTGGTGGCTTGCGTTCTCGCTTTCTCTTTCTCTATCTCTGTCTCTCTGGTCAAAATAATAATGAAAAATGGAATTAAATAAGTAAATTAACTCTTAAAAAAAACATATAGGGCCTGTATGTTCATACAGGTCCATGTATGTGCATGTCCACAGACCTGAGAGGAGAGGAGTAGAGGATATTGTGCCCCACTGAGAGGGGAGATTTCTCACTTTCCCTTTCTGTCTGTCTCTGGCAAGCACACGTAGGCATGTATGGCAAAAACCTAAGAACAAGAACAACCCAAACAAAGCCATTTCATGTAGATAAAACAAAAAATGATATTTTTGTAACTATAGGTAATTTATCTAAAAATTGTCATGATGAATAAATAGCAAGGTGTAGAGTGATAAGTGCATATAATTCTCCTTTTATGAAAACAAACAAAAATCAAAAGCAAGGTCTATGTATGAAGATTGAAAATGATATGTAAAGATATATATTAAATTGTTAACACTGATTACATTAAGGAAATTAGATAAGACATGGGGATAAGTTTTTTTTTTTTCCTTAAGATCTCTATGTTGAATAAATTGTAGCACGTATGACCTGATTTTTTGTAATTAAAAAAATAACAAGGTGGGGGGGCGCTGGCAGGTGGCATGGTGATTAAGGGCACTGGACTCCTGCATGGCTGACTGTGGTTTGAGTTCAGACCTGGCAGCTTGTTTTCTCACTTTCTCTTTCTCTCTGTCCCTTTTGGTCAAATTAAAATAAACAAATAAATAAGTAAACAAACAAACCCCATGGCATAGTGGTTAAGGGAACTGGATTCCACATGGTTGGCCACCTTTAGACTTCCTGCCCCCCAGGGATTGGAAAACACTGTGTGTGTATTTATATGTGCACATGAGTACAAAAAATCCCAGCAGGAGAAAGAAATGGAGAAGGTACTGTGTCCCATTGTGGGGTGCTTTCTCTCTCTCTACCTCTCTCTCTTTCTCTGGTGAGTGCATATGCCCTCTGGCGATTGAAAAAATAAAGAACTACTAAAAAATTATGAAGGTAAAATTACCATAGGTGATTTTTTTTTTTAATTTAATTTTATTTATTCATTCATTTATTTACTTTGACCAGAGAGAAGCAGAGAGAGAGAGGAAGTGAGAAAGCAAGCCACCAGGTCCGGGACTCGAACTATGGTTGGCTATGTGGGCGTGTCCAGCGCCTTAACCACCATGCCACTTGCTGACCCCGATAGATGATTTTTTTTAAAGAGGTCTTTTCCTTCAAGTGTGTGTGCTCGTTAGAGAGAGAGAGAGAATGAGAGAGGAAGTGAGAAATCAGCCCCGGGGGGATAGTTATACTGTAATCCCTTCTCCTCCGTTCTCCTCTCGGGATGTTGGGCACACATGCCCAGCCTGAATTCAAGCCACTGAGTCCAGGACTTGAACCATGGTTGGACATGTGGGAGTCCAGCAACATAACTGCTGTGCCATCTGCCGGCTTCATAGTTGATGGTTTTTAGCATACTGAGTCTGGTGAGTATTAGGAAATTTATTTTCTTAAAGTTTCTTTTGTGGAGTCTCAAATGCTAGAATTCTGATTGTTTTCATGTCATAGAAGTAAGACAGCTTGCTGTTAACTTTTATGAAATGCTGCTTACAGCAACAAAAAACTATAGGGTTTGGGACCAGTAGGTTGTATGGTGGTGAAGGTGCTAGACTCTTTCATGGCTGATGGTGGTTCAAGTCCTGAACTTGGAAGCTTCTTTCTCACTTTCTTTCTCTCTCTCGGACCTGGCAGCTTGCTTTTTCACTTTCCCTCTCTGTCTCTCTCTGGTGAACGCACATACCCTGTGGCAATTAAAGATAATAAATAAAATTAAATAAGTAATTCTTAAAAAAAAAACAAAACCATAGGGTTTAAACTCTAGCTTCTACCTTAAGAGGTTCTCTTTTTCTTTTTAGTCTTTCATTTTACATGTAGTTTATATTATGAAAGCAAGTGCATTACAAAATATAAAACAAATGATTAGAGTAAGAGTAAAAATGTGACTTGCCTCTCTTCCCCAAATATTTCCAAAGGTCATTGCTTTTATTTATTTATTTATTTATTTATTTATTTATTTATTTATTTTTAATTTAATTTCCATTTTATCACAGGTCTTTACAGTTTGCATTTCTTTTTCCAACACAAATACCATGCATGTAAGTCAAGACAAGGATATTTACTATATACATTATCATCAGCAAATAGCTTCTCATTTTTTGTCAATTAACAATACTTTTACCTGTCCTCTGCCCCCCTTCCATACTAAACTGTTTTTACTTATTTTTTTCACATTTTATTGATTCACAAAAGATCTTAAAAGTATGGACAAAGCTAGAATCTAGTGACAACAACACTGTAATTTTCTTTTGAAACATTTTTTCCCCCTCTTCATTCCCCCTTTTATAAAGAGAGGTCTAAACTAACTTATTTGCAAAAAAAAAAAAAAAAAAAAAAAAAAGTTAATCTCAGCTTGGTCTGTTATTAGCACAAAACCCCATAAAAATTCAATTTCTGATACAAGGCAACAGATACTATTGTATTATTGAACTTATGAAAATAACCATTCTTCCCCAAAATAAGAATGCTCACAAATATTTTCTAATTGGAAAGGGGCCAGGAAGGGAGAAAAGTTTATATTTCAATTTTAAACATTCTTTTTGTTTTTAAAAAATAACTGAACCCAACAACTAAAAAAAACCAAAAATCCTTAATTCTGGAAGACAAAGCATAGAAGAAAATCAGTAATGTATTAGAAAAAAATCAGAATTCTATTTCACCAATTCATTCTCATGTGATCTTTCTTCGGTTGAATTTGCAGTGTTACTGTGGTCTGACCTTTCCATTAACATTCAGCATTATTATTGATATTTCAGAACTTGTGCCTACCACTAAGTTGGCCTTTTCTTGGTCATTTTTTGTTTTCTGATTTGTCTGTCTTTAGTTTTCTTGGTATAGTACTCCCTTTGGAACTTCTCAAAGAGCTGGTCTGGTGTTGGTAAATTCTTTCAGCTTTTGTTTATCTGAGAATGTTTTTATCTTTTCTTTCCACATGAAGGATAATCTTGCTGGATACAGTATTTTGGGTCGAAATTGTTTTTCACTTAACACTTTGAATATATTTTCCCTTGCATTGTTTCCCACAGAGGTCCCATGTTAGCCTGATGGGATATCCTTTGAAATTAACTTGATGTTTTTCTCTTAACAATTTTAGTGTCTTATCGTCCATGAACTAATGACTGGCTTGAAAAATTGGTACATATAAGCTATGGACTACTACTCAGCCATAAGGAACAATGGGACCTTGTCGTTTGATACAAAATGGATGAATATAGAACATTTAATGTTAAGTGAATTAAACCAGAAAGACAAACACTGGGGCCAGCAGGTAGTATGGTGGTTAAGGGCGCTGGATGCTCCCATATGGCTGACTGTGGTTTGAGTTTTGAACCTGGTAGCTTGCTTTCTCACTTTCCCTCTCTCTTTCTGTGTGTTTGTCTCTCTGGTCAAATTTAAATGAATCAATGAATCAAGAAAATAATTATTAAAAAATAAAGGTTATCAGTGCCCTTAATAGTTTCTTCACCTTCTGGGATACCAATTATCCAGATGTTTGGGTGTCTCTGGTATCTAGTATTACTTGTATATTATTCTCATTTTTGGGAGTTATTTTCTCAGTTCTTTTGGTGAAATTTTCTAGGTCAGAAGTTCTATCTTTTACATCTGAGATTCCATCTTCTGCATGATCTAATCTGGTTTTAATACTTTTAAGGGAGGTTTTGATTTCCTGTATTACAGCCTTCATCTCTTAACAGTTCTTTACTATACTCTCCAATACTGTCCTAACCTGTATTTTTTTTAAGAATAGTTTTTTATTTAACTTTATTTATTTATTTATTTATTTTAATTTGACCAGAGAGGGACAGACACAGAGAGAGAGAGAAAGCAAGCCGCCAGGCCTGGGACTTGAACCATGGTCAGCCATGTGAGAGTCCAGTGCCCTTAACCACCACGTCACCTGTATTTTTACCAGTGTTGCCACTATTCTTCCTTCTCTTCCCCGAAGCAGTTCTATACTTTTCCACTGCAATACCCTTCTAGTTTTATTACTTCAGCCTGAAACATATATACATACATGCACACATCCACATGTGCACTCGTGCACACACACATCACTAATTGTAATGTTCATACTTTATGTTTCTTACTGATTTTTTGTCTTTAGTTATTAGAGATGTGATCAGTCTCTTTCTGTGATGGCACAGTTATGTATCCCAAATCTAAAAA